GCAAATTGTATCCTTCTCATTGTTACTTGCGTGAAGTTCCTCAACAGAAACCCAGTTAGGTTGGGGCTCAGGGTTTAACTTGAAGGTTTTGAGTGCTTATAAGTATGGTTCAGTACCTTAACTAAGGTCATACTACAGGTACTTCTAACTACCCAAGCAGGGGTTTTGGGACAGGTTTGCAGCTTTGGGGAACACGGGGTTCAGGGTTCCTAAACTTCTAAACTTCTAAACCCTAAACTTCTAAACCCTAAACCCTAAACCCTAAACCCTAAGCCCTAAACCCTAAACCCTAAGCCCTAAACCCTAAACCCTAAACCCTAAACCCTAAACCCAAAGGCATGAAGCCCGGAAGGTCCTTCAACTCAGGGCTTCTCAGGGCAGCTCGGGGCTTTGATGGCTTTTGGGGCTCTTTAGCGCCTTCAAAGGGCCTCCATTCAGGGCCTGTCAGGGTTTAGGGTTTAGGGTTTAGGGCTTAGGGTTTAGGGTTTAGGGTTCAGGGCTAAGGGTTAAGGGTTTAGGTTTAGGATTTAGGTCTTGAAGGGAATGCAGGGTTCAAGGATTCAGGAGTTGGGGGGCACTCCGAGGGTTTAGGGTTTCGGCCTTCGGGTCCCCTCACCCGAGCCGTATACCCGAGACCCACGTCTGCGGGACTAAGCCCTACATGCCCCTAAAAGGCCTTGAGCAGCCCTAAACCCTAAACCCTAAACCCTAAACCCTAAACCCTAAACCCTAAACCCTAAACCCTAAACCCTAAACCCTAAACCCTAAACCCTAAACCCTAAACCCTAAACCCTAAACCCTAAACCCTAAACCCTAAACCCTAAACCCTACCATTCCTCCCCAGGCGAATCAACCCGAAGGCCCAACCCTTAAATCCCGCACTGTGTAGTTCTACTCCCCCAAAATACCCCTACATGCCTTTAACCTCCCAGAGACTCCAATATCCCTTAATTAAGGAGTATTCCTTAAATCATATTAGGGATCCCTAATATGATTTAAGGTATATTCCTTCATTAAGGGATATTGGAGTCTCTGGGTTTTTAGGGGCACTGCTAGCTCTTCCAACCTCGCGTCAAACAGCGGTACTGACATGCGGCCGCCATTACCTGCGAGTCCTAGAAAAGGCAGTTCATGGGGAATTCCGTTCTCGTTAAGCCGGAGAGCCACGACGTCGTTCGGGTCCCAGAGCACATCGAATGGCGGCGTGTGGAAAGACAACGCATGGCCCTGAAAGGCTCTATGGTCCATATAAGGCCATACCAGTTCCGAAATTTCCCTTTCGATTTGATCCTTCAGCATCACTCTTCAGTTCTCGCACAAAGTTCCTGTTCGGGTCAAAACCAGCTCGTCCCTCAGACAATGCAAGGAGCAAGAGCCTGGTTAAGGTATATTCCTTGACGAAGGGGTATTGGGGCAACCCTGAACCCCGACAGTTCAGGTAACCCTGAGCCCCGAACTCAATACCCCTCGGCCCTATAGTTCTATTAACCCTAAACCCTAAACTCTAAACCCTAAACACTGTAGTTCTATTAACCCTAAGCCCTAAACCCTGTAGTTCCATTAACCCAAAACCCTAAACCCCAAACCTCAAACCCTAACCCTGAAAATCTATGACCCCTAAACCCTAAGCCCCAAACCCCAAACTTCAAACCCTAAACCCTAAACCCTGTAGTTCTATTAACCCTAAACCCTAAGCCCCAAACCCCCAACCCGAAACCCTGTAGTTCTATTAACCCCGGAACCCCTAACCCTATACCCCTTTACCCCTTTACCCCTTTACCCCTTTACCCCTAAACCCTAAACCCTAAACCCTAAACCCTAAGGCCCCTCTCTGCACGTCGCCTCCAGCGACGCCAGCGTGCGGTCAAGCAGGCCTCAGGGCTGTTGGAGCTTGGGCTTCGTAGGGTTTAGGGTTTAGGGTTTAGGGTTTAGGGTTTAGGGTTTAGGGTTTGGGGTTTGGGGGTTTAGGGGTTTGGGGTTTAGGGGTTTAGGGGTTTAGGGGTTCAGGGGTTCAGGGGTTTAGGGTTTAGGGGTTTAGGGTTCATGGTTCAGGGTTTAGGGGTTTAAGGTTTAGGGTTCAGGGTTCAGGGTTCAGGGTTCAGGGCTTGGGGCCGCTTGGGGCTGCTTGGGGCTGCTTGGGGCTTGGGGCTTGGGGTTTGGGGTTTGGGTTTGGGGTTTGGGGTTGGGATTATAGTACCAATCCCAATTCAGGACTGCTAGTATAATGGGAACATGCCAAGCTTTAGGGTTTAGGGCTACTAGAACAAATGGGTCTTAGGGGATTAAGGATGAACATCCATTCCCACGAAGCTTGCAGGCGTTAGTGTCTTCCCGAGCATCATCAACTAAAGCGCTTGTGTCAGCTCAAGGAGACAGTCGTGTCAGGAAGGCCGTTGAACACCTGAAGGCCGAAAACCCTGAACCCGAAAGAAGCAAAAGCAAAATATTTTTTAAAAAAAGAAAAAACAAACTTTCAAAACACCAAAAACCGAACAGCCACTTTGGCGTGCAAAAATCATGAAGCCTTTGAAGCGGGTAAAGCCTGTACCTGAAGGCTCATGGGTAGCTGTAAGTAGGGTTAGAAGTACCTTCAAGGATATGGCAGGTTACCTTACCTGTAACCACTACATATACCCACCCTAGACTCTAAACCCTAAAACTCTAAACCCAAAACCCCGTTAACCCCAAACCCTAAGCCCCAAGGCCATGAACCTGCAAAACCCTAAACCCTAAGCCCATGAACCTGCAAAACCCTAAACCCTAAGCCCTAAGCCCTAAACCCTAAACCTTAAACCCTAACCGCAAACCCTGAACCCTAAATCTTAAACCCTAAACCCCAAACCCCAAACCCTAAACCCTAAACCCCAAACCTAAGCCCAGCTGTGGCCGCCGCTGAGGGCTTTTGTCGGATCCCGCGGTTTCCCTGTCAGTGCCGCGGCGGCTGAGCAAATCCACCTCAGCTGACGTTTAGGGCTTAGGGTTTAGGGTTTAGGGTTTAGGGTTTAGGGTTTAGGGTTTAGGGTTTAGGGTTTAGGGTTTAGGGTTTAGGGTTTAGGGTTTAGGGTTTAGGGTTGAGGGTTTCGGGTTTAGGGTTTAGGGTTTAGGGTTTAGGGTTTAGGGTTTCGGGTTTAGGGTGGGCAGCTTCAAGTAGGACTTAGGGTTTAGGGCTTCGGGCTTGGGGTTCAGGCGGGTTTAGAGTTTGGGGTTTGGGGTTTAGGGTTCGGGGTTTAGGGCTAATTTAGGGTTTGGGGCGAATGTGGGGTTTGGGGTTGAGGGTTCAGGGAAGAGTAACCTAGGAATAAAAAGGGTGCCCTTTGGCTTACATGGTATTATAAGGGAACCTAGCCCCTACAAAAGGGAATAAGGGCCTACACTGGGTCCGAGGTTACGCAAGGCTCCACTTACCTCTGACAAAGATTCGTCAATGAATTCCTCTGACATACAGTACGGGAAAACAAGACACATCCCAAGGGCCTACTTGAAGGTTCATGGGTAGTTGTAGGCAGGGGCGAAAGTACAGCCCCCCTAACTAACCTTATAACTTAAAGGTTACGTATTTATAACCCTACCTGCAACTACCCATGAGCCTCCAGGTTCCCCCTACGCCCTAAAACCTACACCCTAAATACCTGAACCCCTAAAACCTAAATCCCTAAACCCTAAATCCCAAATCCCTACAAGCATCAACCCCTTCGGGCCTGGAGTTAGGGCTTCGGGTTTAGGATTTCATGGATTCGGGTTTCGGGCTTAGGGATTTAAGGTTTAGGGATTTCGGGCTTGAAGGATAGAGGGTTGAGGTTTGGGCTTTGGGGGCTCAGTGGAAAGAAGCACCTACGGAAATAATAAAAGGTGATCGATTTTCGGCGACTACTGCACGTCTCCGGTAGCGGAGCCCACCTTGATCTCATCCGAAATGGTGCCACGCCAGGTTGCGGATGGCAAAGCACAATTCGCCCGAGCAAAGGCCAAGGAAAGTAAGATCCCTCAGTCGTGATTCGATCTCTATCAGCAACGCCCCGCTACTTGGTCTCCTCTCCAAAGACGGGCCGACCAACATCAGCAGCTCTACAACACAGTCGATCCTGTGCCCTTCGGGTGGTGATGGCCGGCCTTGTGTCAGGCCTACTAGGTCTTGCACGACCTGCTTAAGCACCTTCAGGGGCAACAGATGCTCCAAGAACAGGTGGCCAATAAAACTCACACAGGACAGCATCACGTGCCTCCGCCTCTCCACCTCCGCTTGCAAGGCCTCGGAATCAGGGAACTTTGCTACGTCATCGGCCGATGCCTCAAGAGTGCATGGCAAGCTTTCGAACTCGGCCTGGGTGACTGTGAGCAGAACCCGAGTGAAAGACAAGGGCTTCTCACTTTCGGGCTCCGGTGGAAACTGCGGGTAGCGATGCCTCAAAGCAAGGGCTATCTTTGCACAGGTCTCACCGTGGGCAGGCTCCGCAACAGCCTTCCTGAAGACGGCGTGCACGGCACACTTCAGCTCCTCACCATTCTGCAACTCAATGTTTGCCATCTCCTCCTCGATGCCTCTCAAGCCTCTGCGCTTGACTGCACTTACCTTGCACATAGAGGCTTGCACCTGTCGTCTGACCTGCATGCGGTACCCAGCCAGTGCTTGCAGCGTCGGCCCCCGGCGCAGCTCTAGCATTGCAACTGTGCGCCACATCTCTGCCTCGACCGAGGACTCTGCCATTCTCGTGGAAAAAAGTGCCTGATGCCAACATCAAGATCGAGCTCCGCCGCTTCCTTCACCTCCCTTCATGTCGTCTGAGGCGTCACCGGAAGCTGGGTCGCCTGGCCACTAAGCAATGCCACGTTCAGCACTTCACCCTCAGCGGAAGGTCCAGAATACGCCATGGCCGTCTGTGCAACTGTGAGTGCCTCAAACCGGGGTATTTCAGGGGCCCGGGAGTGTAATGTATAGGGCGGAGGTTCTCCGAGTCGCTTTACGGATAATGAAGGTATTTGGGGGTTCAGGGTTGAGGGGTTTACGCAGGGCTATTTGGACAAACTCCCAATTCGAGCACTGCAGCAGCCAAAGTCGCGAAGGTGGCTCAATGTACTTGAAGGTTCATGGGTAGTCAGAAGTAGGGTTAGAGGGTACCTGAATTAAGGTTCTGATACAGGTTACCTTGAACCCTGTACTTACAACTACCCATGAGCCTTCAAGTAGGACGGAACGCAGATGAACATTTAATCCATTACAGTAATGTTCACCTCCCACAACCCCAAAACCACCAGCAGAAGCCATGGACTTAGTTGCTGAGTTCATACGCCCCCAGAAAGTGTACGCTTTCAGTTCTATAGGGGATTAAAGTATCCCAAAAAGTGTAAAGTGTACTCACTCAGCTACTAAGTTGATATTCACCCGCAGGGAAACATTCACTCTTGCCGGTGGGGGTGGTGGGGGCAGGTCGGGGTCGGGCTTCAGGGTTTGAGGGAGCTTTAGGGTTTAGGGTTTGGGGTTTAGGGTTTAGGGCTTAGGGTTTAGGGTTTAGGGTTTCTGGGAGATTGGGGGGGGTAGGGCCCTAAACCCTAAGCCTGCAGAGGCCGGCGCAAGGTTAGCCTCGCTGCCTGCGAGGAGGGCGCAAGGTGCACCGCCTTTGCTCAGGGCTTACTAAACCCTAAACCCTAAACCCTAAACCCTGCACCCTAAACCCTAAACCCTAAACCCTACACCCTACACCCTAAACCCTAAACCCTAAACCCTAAACCCTAACCCTAAACCCTTAAGACAAAATAAATTGAAATTGTATGTGACCTCAATTGTGAATTTCCCAAGTTGTTTGTCTAAACACCTGACACGCAAGAGTTTATGTAGAATAACCCCAAGCGCCATTGGAGGCCACAAAAGGCCCACAAACTCCTTGGGGAGGCCCCAAAAACGCACCAGGAAGCCCCGAAACTCCGAAACACATCCTGGGAGACCCCAAATCCCTCAAGACTTTCCAGGACAAAATCTCCCGGCCCAAGAACCATGAAAGCAAAAGAAGTGCCTCTACACTTTCCCGGTCAAAAAAAAAAAAGACATGAGACAAATGAAAGGACGTTCCTGCAAAACGCTCCGTTCAAAACGGCTTGTTCAAAACGTTTCGAGGGAGTCAGGTGCCCAATACCTTTGGCCTGCTCAAGTGTGGAGATGCCTGGGATGTGGGGCCTTTTGCATAACGTCTTCGAGACCTTCTCGAGCTTAGGTCCCTTTGTGGTAGCCCTCAACCCTAAACCCTAAACCGTAAACTCTAAACCCCTAAACCCTAAACCCTAAACTATGAGGAACAGATTGCAATAGAGACCCCTAGGCCCTGAACCCTTAAACCCTGAAGCCAAAAACCCCTAATTAGGGGGAGGGGGGGGGGGGTGTTGTGGGTGTAAAGGTTTGAGGCAAACAAGTTCGGGTCACTACCAGAACCACATCGTTCGGTCATCGAACCTCGAACTACAGACTCTGCACAAGACCCTCAGGTCTGGGTACAGGTTTAGGGATTAGGGATTAGGGTTTAGGGTAATATGGATGAGGGCTTAGGGTGAAAGTTAACATACGCCCGCCTCTCGCAAGTGGCGCTGGGCCGTCTCGAAGTCGGGATTGGCGCGGATCATCAGCAGAGCCTCCATAAAGGGCATGCGCGGCACACAAATCGACTTTAGGGTTTAGGGTTTAGGGTTTGGGGTTTAGGGTTTAGGGTTTAGGGTTTAGGGTTTAGGGTTTAGGGGTTAGGGGTTAGGGTTTAGGGTTTAGGGTTCAGGGAATCCAGGGAACCTTGGAATTCCTTCCTACCCAAGCTGGAGCCTGTTAGGGCTTTGGACTGCGACACCTGGCTGCATCTCATGACGCCTTTCAAAAACATGTTTCAACCCGAAAACCCTCCACTCTAAACCCCAAACCCTAGACCCTAAACCCCAAACCCTGAACCCTAAACCCTAAACCCTAAACCCTAAACCCTAAACCCTAAACCCTAAACCCTAAACCCTAAACCCTAAACCCTAAACCCTAACTCACATCCCAGTGAGGGGAAGGCCCCTAGGATGGCGTGGGCCACGGCGCGCGTGGGCTCGTGGAACCTGGGGCTGCGTGGGTTTGGGGTTTAGGGTTTAGGGTTTAGGGTTTCGGGTTTGGGGTTTAGGGTTTCGGGTTTAGGGTTTCGGGTTTGGGGTTTAGGGTTTAGGGCTTAGGGTGCACCGCCAGCATCCTCGTGTCAGCGTCCAATTCCTCGGCAGCGTCCGTGTCCTCGAAAGGACGCTTGTGGGATGCAGTGGCAACGGCTGCGGAGATCTCAGCTTCGTCTTCGGCGGCCTGGCGGCCTTGCCACCTCTGCTGGTGTCTCTCGCGTCAACGCGCCAGATTTCAGGGCTTTGGGCTTAGGGTTTAGGCTTTAGGGCTTAGGAGTTTGGGTTTAGGGTTTAGGGTTTATGAATGCTGGAGGGTTCAGGAGGTGGAGTTCTCGTGCAGGGTCTTGGGTCTAGGGCTTAGGGTTTAGGTTTAGGGGCACTCTTAAAACGGGTATCTGAAGGGCGAAGCTTTGATTTTTGAGGTTTAGTTTTAGCGAATCCAGGTTTCTTGAAGTCTAAGGACTAAGCCCCTCAACCCCTCAACCCTTCTCAACCCCTCAACGCCTCAACGCCTCAACGCCTCAACGCCTCAACCCCTCAACCCCTCAACCCCTCAACCCCTCAACCCCTCAACCCCTCAACCCCTCAACCCCTCAACCCCTCAACCCCTCAACCCCTCAACCCCCAAACCCCAAACCCTGAGGCTGGGGGTGGGTCGTTGTAGCGGGTTCGGGGTGGGCTTAAGGGGCTTCAGGGTTTGGGGTTAGGGTTTAGGGTTTAGGGTTTTGTTTCGGGTTTAGGGTTTGGGGTTTAGGGTGTTTAGGGGTCAGGGTTTGGCCGGCAGGGGTTGACGCGGAGTGAGTGACTGCTCTTGTTTCAGCTACATGCTCTTCAAAACCCCAAACCCGGAACTCCAAACCTTAAGCCCTAAACCCCAAGCCCTAAAACCCTAAACCCTAAACCCCTAACCCTAAACCCCTAACCCTAAACCCCAAACCCTAAAACCCCAAAACCCCTGCCCATCAGGCGATTCAGGCATGGGGCCAAAAGGCACAGCACCTCTTGAATCAGCACAACTCCAACCTCCCTCCCCCCACCCCCAACCCCCCCGCGGTCTCAAAATTCGTGTTCAATCCTGCATGTTGGGAGGGTTTTAAGGGCTCTCTGAGCCTCTTGAAAGCCTCTTGGGGACCTCTTCAGAAGGTATTCTGTCTACTTCTCTTGCATGAAAAAGGGGCTTTCAAAGCTACCCTGAGCCTCTTGAAAGCCTTTGGGGACCTCTTCAGATGGTATTCTGTCTACTTTTTTTAAGGAAAAAGGCTTTCAAAGCTACCCTGAGCCTCTTGAAAGCCTGCTGAGGACCTCTTCAGAAGGTACTCTGTCCACCTTTTTTTTGCATGAAAAAGCGCTTTCAAAGCTACCCTGAGCCTCTTGAAAGCCTTTGGGGACCTCTTCAGAAGGTATTCTGTCTACTTTTGGAGGAAAAAGGGCTTTCAAAGCTACCCTGAGCCTCTTGAAAGCCTGCTGAGGACCTCTTCAGAAGGTACTCTGTCCACTTTTTTTCAATGAAAAAGCGCTTTCAAAGCTACCCTGAGCCTCTTGAAAGCCTTTGGGGACCTCTTCAGAAGGTATTCTGTCTACTTTTGGAGGAAAAAGGGCTTTCAAAGCTACCCTGAGCCTCTTGAAAGCCTGCTGAGGACCTCTTCAGAAGGTACTCTGTCCACTTTTTTTCAATGAAAAAGCGCTTTCAAAGCTACCCTGAGCCTCTTGAAAGCCTTTGGGGACCTCTTCAGAAGGTATTCTGTCTACTTTTGGAGGAAAAAGGGCTTTCAAAGCTACCCTGAGCCTCTTGAAAGCCTGCTGAGGACCTCTTCAGAAGGTACTCTGTCCACTTTTTTTCAATGAAAAAGCGCTTTCAAAGCTACCCTGAGCCTCTTGAAAGGGGCTCAGGGGCAATTCCCTGCTGCTTCACAGGCGGGAGTCGACCACCGATAACCCTAAACCCTAAACCCTAAACCCTAAACCCTATACCGTGAAGGGTCTCTGTAGGAGCTCCTTCCTTCCCACGAACGAATAAAGCATGAAAAAACAAAAGCATAATTGGCATTTATTTGTTTTTTTGTATTTGGTTTTATAATGGAGGGGTTTTCCACACTAGAGACTCCGAGGCCCCGGCCCTGAACCCTATCTGAAAGCTAAAAAGCGGGGTCCCCCAGATAGAAAAACACATGGCGGCCCACAAACGACCCTTCTTATAGGACCCCCCGCCCCAAAAAAAGTACCCGGTGCATTCGGAAACCACGAACCGTAATCCTATTTTCGGAAACCCTAAACGCTAAACCCTAAACCCACATAAAGACTCCCGGCGTCCAAGAAGCTGGAGCGATGCTTGGAGGTACGAGACGGCCTGAAAGTTTAGGGTTTAGGGTTTAGCACTTAGGGTTTCGGGTATAGGGTTTAGGGTTTAGGGTTTTTGGTTGAAGGTTTTTGGGGGGGTTGGGGCTTAGGGAGTCGGGTTTTGTGTTTAGGGTTTTGGGGATAAGGCTTGGGGTGTGGTGATTAGGTGTTTAAGGCTTAGGGGGGTTAAAGCCTGGGACCCTAAACCCAAAACTCTAAAGCCCTTCTCTCGCAGTCGCGTTGGAACAGATCCGGACGCCTGATGGTTCTACGTTCTAGAGCACGCCCCAAGGAGCCAAGCAACAAACGAAGCCCTGAGCTTGCTAGGATCCTCCCGAAACCCTAAACCTAAACCCTAACCCGAAACCCTCAACCCTAACTCCTAACCTCCACCCGCCCCGAAAGTCTCGAGCTGCACCTCCTGATGCCGCTGCTGCTCGATGAGGATCTTGCCATACCAGAACAGCGCCAGCCCCTCCTGTCGTGCTCAGGCTAGGATTCCGGGGTATAGTAACCATAGCAGTAGTAGCAAGAACACTAGACACTGAACTCGTTCATAATCTAGTAAAACATTGTCAAACTAGAGGCAGCAAGAAACACATAAAACTAAAAAGCTGCAGTTCATGAACCCATAAAAGGAGATTGATACAATTTTGTGGTAGTACAAGGAATAGTAGCAGTCGTCGTCGTAGCACGAACACTACCACTAGTACTAGCCCGATATAGAAACACGAACAATGAAAGGAATAGTAGATACTCGGAAGTCGCACAAGGGCCCAGCTTAACCCTAAACCCTAAACCGTAAACCGTAAACCCTAAACCCTAAACCCGAAACCCTAAACCCTAAACCCTAAACCCTAAACCCTAAACCCTAAACCCTAACCCTAAACCCTAAACCCTGGGTTGTTTGGGTGAAGTTCATAGACTCTCAGCATGCTCCAGAGCTTTGTAGAAGCGGACGAAGTAGTGGCGACCCTAAGTCCGCAAGCTGCTATAAACCCAAGCCCTGAGATACCCAAGGCCCTTAAAAACAAAAACTTAGCGGCTAAAGGGCTTAGGGTTTAAGGTATAGGCTACCCTAAACCCTAAACCCTAAACCCGAAACCCTAAACCCTAAACCCTAAAGGGCTTTGGAGGTGCCTCCGGCTCCAACTCAAGCGCATCCACGAAGTCGCTTCCTAAATGGATCGAGGCGGGGAGGCCCTAAAGGGTTGATCCGCCCTAAACGGGTTTTAGCGTTTAGGATTTAGGGTTTAGGGTTTAGGGTTTAGGGTTTAGGGTTTAGGGTTTAGGGTTTAGCGTTTAGGGTTTAGGGTTTAGGGTTTAGCGTTTAGGACTCAAGAGATGTCCCAAATAACGCAAACAAAAACAAGCCTGAGACCTGAAAAAGCACAGCACGTTTCGGTTTGGGGCCTCGGGCTCAACTTAGCGCCTCCCACATGTGGAATAGGCCCAGATTCAGAATCATATCCGGGCTAAGGCTGCCTTTTTGGGGGCAATCCCTAAACCCTAAACCCTAAACCCTAAAAGTTGGGATGTTTTTCCTATACTAACAGCGCTCAAAAGGGATGACAATAGGGGGGGGAGGGGGGTTAGGGTTTAGGGTTTAGGGTTCAGGGTTCAGGGTTCAGGGTTCAGGGTTCAGGGTTCAGGGTTCAGGGTTTAGGGTTTAGGGTTTAGGGTTTAGGGTCTAGGGTCTAGGGTTTAGGGTTTAGGGTTTAGGGTTTAGGGTTTAGGGTTTAGGGTAAAGGGTTTAGGGTTTAGGCTTTAGGGTTTGGGGTTTAGGGTTTAGGGTTTAGAAAAAGACGTTGCGGCGGCATCTGCACCAGATCAGCATTAGACCAGGATGTCAGGCGAAGAATCACCCAGCGCACACTGCTCAAAGCAATAGGATGCTCAGAGTCCGCATTGACCAATGGCGTCGAAGATAGAGCATTCGGCGCCGGCGCAGCAGAAGTGTCCGTTTCCAGAAGAGTAGCTGGCGGCGTAGGCACTGTACCCTTTGGTTTAGGGTACTATAGTCCCTATTAAGGACTTGTAGCATAAGGGTGAACATCCCAACCTAAAAGGGGGTTTAGGGAAAAAAAACAGGGCAGATGTCCAAGCCATGAAACCTCAGACCGAACATCGTCGATGAGAGAGGCCCGAACCCCCTCGAAAAACCCTAGGGTCTAGGGTTCAGGGTTTTAGGGTTTAGGGTTTTAGGGTTTAGGGTTTAGGGTTTAGGGTTTTAGGTTTTAGGGTTTAGGGTTTAGGGTTTAGGGTTTCCGGGTTTGGGGTTCAGGGTTTAGGGCTCAGAAAACCTTAAGGTTTATAAGGTTTAGGGTGGCAGGGTTGAGGGTCGGAACATGCTCCTCCGGTACGATTCTCCACCCGACCTCGACAAGAAAGGCCCTTCCGCTTGGAATTCCAGGCACCCGATTCCTGACTTCCAGGAAATTCTGCCAGCCCTCAACCCCAAATCCTAAACCCTAATCCCTAATCCCCAAATCCTAATTTCACCTTGTGGCCCTGAATTGCCCAGTAAGGAGTCAGGAACCAAGATGCGATTCTGAACCTGTGAGTTTGGTTTGGCTGGCTGCGGCTTTGGCTGGCTCCAAGTCCTTTTTCGCTTTGAGTCGTGTTTTGGGTGCAAAAAAGGCCCAAGCCCTAACCTTAACACTTAACCCTGAACCCTAAACCCTAAACCCGACACCCTAAACCCTACACCCCCCCACACCCCCCTTGGGGCCCCTGAGGGTCGGGCCAGCCGCCTCAAGGTTCCCCAGGAGCCGCAGAACTAGCCTCAAAGGCTGTGCTTGACCAGGGTTTAGGGTTCGGCTTAGGGTTCGAGGGTGTAAGGCTGAGGGTTTGGAGTTTAGGGTATAGGTTTAGGGTTTAGGGCTTCAAGGCTTGGGGACCAGGAGCCTTAAAGGGGGCGTATAAGGGAACATAAACCCTAAAAAAAAGCAATAAGAGCCTGCTCTGGGTCCTAGTTAAGGTTCAGGTTTCGGAACTTTAGGTGGTTTAGGGATTTTAAGGGGGGCTTGAGGGGGGCTTGAGGGGGGCTTGAGGGGGTTTAGGAGGGTTTAGGGGGGAATTGGGGGGTGTGTGGGAGGTTTCGGGGCGTTAAGCCCTGGCCCTAGCGGCTTGAGGGTTCCTCGGAAGACTTGATCAGCATGTTGCCGTGCAGCTTTCAAGATGCCGCGAGAGGGAACTTGAGATTTCCGGCACGGTCGTAGGGTCTAGAGGTATGGGCTCTCGGAAGTCGCACTGAGGCAGGATATCAGGGAGGCAGCGGGGACTTGGAGTGCTACGCCCATGTCCCCGTAGCGAAGAGGCTAAGTAAGTGGGACTCTTCTGGGGCGTGCAAAGACCACCAGCTTCGGAGGTCTTCTGCTGGGTTCAAGCAAACCTCAAGCCCTCAAGCCCACACCACCCTGCAGGAAGTAGGGCCCAGGGCAGTTCCGTTTGCGGCTGGTTTCGTCTACAATGAGTCTACAAGCTTCCACCGCTATGGCTTTAGCAGCCTCGAGTACACTGCCCTGCTGCTTGCAGCTTCCTGCTTCAAACCAAGGCCTCCTGTCTTCAAAGTTCGAAGCTGCACCGCTTAGGGCGAAGGGTCCTTTTGAGGGCTTGCGAGCTTGCGAAAGGCATCAGAAGTGAACCACTGCTAGGGAGGCGGCCAGGCGCGTGTGGTGGTTGGCGGCCGCAAGGACATCGGGTGTGTCCCCGCGATCGTTTGGGATCACCTCCGCCCCGGCTTCGAGGAAGAGCTCCGCCAAGGCCTCGTCCCCAACAAGGGCCGCCATCCCCAGAGGCGTGATGCCGGGCAGGCTGGCCAGGAAGCGGGTCTTCGTCGCACAGCTGTCGAAGCCCCAGAGAGCGGCCCGTACCCGCGCACTCTGACAGAGCCGCTGGAAGAACCCGGAGGGACATGCGCGCACGTTCAGGTCCGCGCGGGCCTCCATCAGCATGAGAGCTTTGGTTGCTGCATCCCTCTTGCCTCGTGCAAAGACGGCGATAGCTTGCAGTGGGCCGCAGCCAACCCCTCGAAGGGGAGGGTTGGGGCTGCACCGGGCTGCCAGCATCGCAGCCACGGCCTCCGCAGTTGCGTGGCCTGGATCTTCAAATTAGCCGCCGTATCTTTTCTTTCGCTACGTCAAAGTGCTTACAGACGGCGGAGCTTGTGGGCAGCTTAAGAGACTTAAGAGCACATGCAACAACACCGACAAAGGAAGTCCGAGCATCCAGCAATGCTTGAAAGAGGGTTGAGCCCCATAGGCAGTTCTGAGGAGTGCAAGTCTGCCCGGGCATCGAGCAGCACCTGCACGTGCGCGGCCGTGCGCAGAAGGCCAGCGGGGCCCAGCCCGGTGTGCTTGACGCGGATGCCAACATCGGCCCGGAGATCGATGAGGGTCCTCAGCACCTCCGGCTCCTGGTTGGAGCGTGCGGCGATGATGAGTGGGGTCATGCCATCATAGAGCCCGAACTCCCCAAGCCCGCGGACTCTCCGATTCACGTCTGCCTGGAGATCAACCAGCCGGCGCACCAGCCTCACCTAGGTTGGCCCTATAACACCCTCTGAAACACACTCGTATCTGAGCCTCCGAAACCCAAGCACAATGTCCCAAGGTCCTGCCTAGCCACATCTCCAGCATAGACCCCACACAGCAGCCCGTTCCTAGGATGGGCTTTGAAACCCTGAACCCTAAACCCTAAACCCTAAACCCTAAACCCTAAACCCCAAAATGCAAAACATCCCAAGCGCCTACCTAGGTTCATCCCGTCGCGATTCCGGGCAGCATCCTCCATGCTCTCGAAGCGGAGCCTCGCCACAAACTCTTCCTCGTTCCAGGGCTCCGGCTGGGAGTCCAGGAACCTACGTAAGACAGGGGTTCAGGGATTAGGGTTTAGGGTTTAGGGTTTAGGGTTTAGGGTTTAGGGTTTAGGGTTTAGGGTTTAGGGTTTAGGGTTTAGGGGGGTCGGAATAGTTACTAACAGTAGTTCCTTTTGATTCCAAAATGATTAGACTACAATAACCCCCAAAAGCCCTCTTGCAATTCTTAAGGCCCCTAGAGTACTTGCGATTTCCAGAACCGCCATGTATGTATCCTGTTGAAAAGTATCACAAAACCATCACGCTGGGTTTGTAATCGAAACCAAAAAAACCAATTCCCTTAAACGCAGGCTCTGGGAACTTCTGCTTCTGGGCCAAGAAGAAGCGGAAGGCATCGATGGGGCCTCGGCTCTGCAGGTGGCGCTGCTTCCCTGCGGCTGCGGCTTCGCCAAGCTTGCAGACCACTGCACGGTCGGCTGGGACGGTGAAGTCGCCCCCGGCGATGCTGTTGTCCTAGGCTCCAGGGTTGCGGGTGAGGGCTTAGACGACACCAGCCTGACTAAGTCAAGGCTTGGGGTCCGGGCTTTAGGGTCCGAAAACCACAAACCCTAAACCCTAAACCCTGTACCCTTTAGTGCTACGGTCCTGCCAGTCGGACTGGACCATGAACTCAGCCTCCGTGGCAGAGAAGACGATCACCACGCTGGTGTCCGCGCGGTTCGAGAGAAGCCACAGCCAAAGCTCGGCCCTGCTCAGGGGTTAGGGTTTAGGGTTCAGGGTTTAGGGTTTGGGGTTTGGGGTTTAGGGTTCAGGGTTCAGGGTTCAGGGTTTAGGGTTTAGGGTTTAGGGTTTAGGGTTTAGGGTTTAGGGTTTAGGGTTTAGGGTTTAGGGTTAGGCAAGTGAACGTTCTTTCGCTCTTCTTATACTTGCACTTTTCTGAGTAAACATTATTGTGATTCTTTTTCTAATTTTCATTCATGTATACCTTGTGTTTGCTTAACATGTATACTCTTGCTATCACGGAGCAGAAGCCGAATCACAGACTTGCGTCCAGGGCCGGGCGCTCTCCTGGACACTTCAATCCTATGCCCCTAGATCACTCTAAACCCTCCACCCTGTGAGCCCTGTAGCCTAAGCCCTAATTTAGGGTCTAGGGCTTTGGGTCTAGGATTTAGGTTTAAAACCTCAAAAACTGCTAGACGCCCCCTTAGAGCCCATCTGAGAGCGCAGCGCCAGTTCGCGTTTTGGGTTTCTTTTTCCAACGTTTCAGGCCTTTTGGGAAAGCCCCCTCCCCCCCCAATGCTTGAAGGTTCATATTAAAACCCTAAACCCTGCTTCTATGAACCTTCAAGTATTGGATGAAAACTCAGCCGTGGTCACACAAGTTGGGTAAAGGCTTGGAGTTTCGAGTCTTAGCTTCATCAAAGTTCTGGTTTCACAGCTTCCAAAAGGGAACTCCCAACCTGCGCAGAACTTCGCGACCGGTTGCTGGGGTTGGGGCTGCCTTCTTCCTCTTTCCGTTCGGGCTTGTGGGTGTTGTAGGGGACTGGAGGGCGGCGTGGCTGTTTGAAATCGGTTAGCCGGCCTGGGTTGTTTGCAGAACTGGCTCGGATGGCTTGCTCAGCGGCATTTCAAACTTAAGACTGCTTGAGACTACTTCTGATCCTGACAGGTTCTTTTGATTTCCGCAAGAGTCTGTTGAAGACCTGTGCCTGCACCAGCCCCGCGACAGCCACGTGGAATAGTTGCAAAGCTTCTTGGTCTCAATGTGCAGCAACTCCGGTGCCAGGACCAGGAACAGGCTGCAGGCCTCCACATATGCAGGAATGGACTGCACAGCCTTGGCAGCTTCCGACTTGGTCTCCTGCTCATTCACGCCCTCCTGGCGCGCGGTGATCTGGGGAATGGCGAACCAGTCGAAGAACAGGAATCCATGGGCGATGTAGCTGCTCATGGACGAAGGCCAGGTGGGGACGAAGCCCGAGTACACCATGCTGGCAACATGGGGCTCGACTTGCAGCGAGCCGTCCACGAAGCCACGCAGGACGCTGCGGAGCACCTCCACCTGGGGGTTCTTCTGTAGGTTCTAGGGCTCTTCTAGAGGTTTTAGGGTGTAAGGTTTAGGGCATTTCAGGTCTTTCTTTTTTGGGGGGTCTCCTTACGAGGAATTCCCTTCACAACCCTTACCTCGCCTGCTTTCCCTCCGGATCGGGTTCGGAGGCTCCAAGCCACTGGTGGGACACGAAAATGGCGAACATGCCAGGATACCTGAGTTTCTTAGGGTAGTTGCATGGCCCCCTTCGTGCGGGCCCTGGAGAGGGGATCCCTTGTATACCCCTTCTAGAACCTATACATCCCAAGGGCCCATACTTCAGAACCCTTGAAAAAGAAAGGGAACCAAACTAAGGGGACCATGTAGCTACCCTAAGAGGGTTCTTAAAGCCACCCTATAAACGCAACACATACGCACCCATCCACGGATGCGTAGGTTGTGCGGCAAACCGGCCCCACGAGCAGAGCATCTCAGCGCCCCATCGTCCGGTGGGGCCCGTAGGTTCGGGCACTGCCACGTCATGTAGGGGTGGGGAAAGAAAGCACAAAGCCCACACACCCCCAATGCCTGGAGCCCCAAACCCTAAACCCTAAACCCGAAACCCCAAACCCCAAACCCCAAACCCTAAACCCTAAAGCCTAAACCCTAAACCCTAAACCCTAAACCCCCCATCTAAAACAAAATCCGGGCACCACTCGTGGAGTAAGCCCTCGTCCCGCAGCACGTTGTGGGGACGCGGGGCGCCCTCCATCTGAAGGAAGTCGGACACCTTCACCACGTACCTTTGCCGCACTGCCAATCTTGAATCGTCGGGCCTGGGGTTTAGGGTTTAGGGTTTAGGGTTTCGGGCTTCAAGTTGACTGTAGCTTTGAATCCCACGTGAACCCTTGAGGCAGCCCATGCTGCCTCCAACTTCCTGTGAAATCAAGGAGCATGGGGAACAGACGTTCGTGGATGGCATTCATTCCTTAGTAGCCCAGTAACCAGATCATACTAAGGGCACCCCTTTTTTCATACTAAGGGCACCCCTTTTTTTGGGTAAGTTACTTTGAAGTAAGGGAACCCAGGACCTAAAAAAAGGGTAGTAAAGGGTACCACTGGGCTGCCGAGATTCTGAAGTTGGCGGCCAGAGGGTCGCTCAGGCAGCCCTCGCTGCACGCTTGGTTCCCCATGGCGGGCGGGGGAAGTAAGACGACCTCAGCCCTGAAACAGAGGGCCGAAGAACCCTACGTAGACCTTAAGCCCTAAACCCGATGATGCGGGCCCTGATGTTTAGGCTAACCCATGAAGGGCCGTTGTTACATTGTTTCGGAGCGCCGGCCATCTGGAATTTGGAGTTGGAGATGTGGTATAGCAAGGTCCAGGGTTGAGAACAAGGGTTCAGGGTACCGGGCTCCGGGGACGGGCGCAGGATAGGCCAGGGCTTGGACTCAAGGGTTTAGGGTTTCGGGGTTAGGGTTTACGGCTTAGAGTTTGGGGTTTGGGGTTTAGGGCTGGTTCAAGGTTGAGGCTGCTGTAGGGAGGCTCTTTGAGCAGGACCACCTCTGAGCGGTCAGTCAAAGTTGTGCCTGCGGCTGCTTCAGGCTCGGGAATTATGTCAGGGCCTGTTAGGGCTTATGAAGCGCTCCGATTAGGGGCTGCTAAAGGCCTCTTAGGGATCTCAAGGGTTTAGGACTTAGGGTTTAGGGTTTAGGGTTTAGGGTTTAGGGTTTAGGGTTTAGGGTTTAGGGTTTAGGGTTTAGGGTTTAGGGTTTAGGGGCTCCCCAAGGCAAAGGAGACCGCAAAGCACCAGAGAGCTTACCCAGCGCCCGGCGCGCGGCGCATCAGCAGCTCTACCAGAAAGCTCCTGGAGCCATGAGAGTTCAGGGTTTAGGGTTTAGGGTTTAGGGTTGTTTTTAGGGTTTAGGGTTTAGGGTTTGGGGTTTCGGGTTTAGGGTTTGGGGTTCTTTTTAGGGTTTAGGGTTTAGGGTTTCGGGTTTAGGGTTTAGGGTTTAGGGTTTAGGGTTTAGGGTTTAGGTGAAGCGCCAGCCAGTGTCTGGAGGGATTGGGCGCGTTTTCTGTATGAAAGAACCAGCTGCGCCCGATGCCGCTGGAGCAGCTAACCTAGCTAAACCCCTTCAGACCTGAAACCCTCCGCTCTTGCTTGAAGCTTCATGGGCAAAGACGAGTAGGGCTACAAGTAAGGCAACCGATGCTATCACCTTCACTAAGGCCCTTAGAACCTACTTATAGCTGCCCCTAAACCCTAAACCCTAAACCCTAAACCCTACTTATAACTACCCATGAACCTTCAAGTACCCCCCCTCCCCCCCGCCTGAGCTTTTCAGGCTCAGCCTCTGAAGTCAGCTCCTCTGGCCTCCCCGGAAGCTTCAGGGGTTTCTTGCGGGTTTAGGGTTTGGGGTTTGGGGTTTAGGGTTTAGGGTTTAGGGTTTAGGGTTTAGGGTTTAGGGTTTAGGGTTTAGGGTTAAACCTGACTGGCTGTTGGCATCATCAAGGAGCAGTGTCTATGGACTTTGGCACCGAACCAACAGACTGCGCATTATCATGCCTGACCACGTCCAACATTCATAACATCAAAATCATCCACGCATCAAGACCTGCTTCGTGAATCGTTTAGGGCTTTGGGTTTCGGGCTTAGGGCTTCGGGGTTTAGGGTTTAGGGTTGAGGGTTTAGGGTTGGGACGTTCCCCCTGTATACTAACAGTCCTTAATAGGCATGATCATAGGGGATACGACAATCCCTATTAAGGACTGTGAATAAAAGGGGAGCATCCCAAGGTGTAGGGTTTACAGGAGACTTTGGGTTTTAGGGTTTAGGGTTCAGGGTTCAGGGTTCAGGGTTTAGGGATTAGGGTTTAGGGTTCAGGGTTCAGGGTTCAGGGTTTAGGGTTTAGGGTTTAGGGCTTAGGGCTTAGGGCTTAGGGTTTCGGGTTGTGCAGCTGCCTGCCGTTCCTGCTGTCCCCCGCGTTGGTGGAGGGCAGCTGCTGGTTCATGGAGGTGCTGGGCCTCAGGGCCACGGCCCCGGCGGAGGAAACCGCACAGAAATCAAACAAAACTGGTTTAGGGTTTAGGGTTTAGGGTTTAGGGTTTAGGGTTTAGGGTTTAGGGTTTAGGGTTTAGGGTTTAGGGTTTAGGGTTTAGGGTTTAGGTTTAGGGGTTAGGGTTTAGGGTTTAGGGTTTTGGGTTTAGGGTTTAGGGTTTAGGGTTTAGGGTTTAGGGTTTAGGGTTTAGGGTTTAGGGTTTAGGGTTTAGGGTTTAGGGTTTAGGGTTTAGGGTTTAGGTTTGGGGTTTAGGGTTCCGACAGTGTTCCGACCCTGGGCCTGCAAAAGCACTCTAAAACCCTACAAAAGCCCTCAACCCCCTAAACCAACCTCAATCCTGCGGACTAGAAAGCCCGAGCTCCTAAGCGCCTAAACGCCCCTAATTCCGAACCCCTCAAACCCTTGAATGCGAGACTTAAAAACCTAAGCCCCTCAAAAGAAAAGCTTAAAACCCGTACCAAACAACCCAAACACCAACGATCCTGACGAACTCCTGTCAACCCTAAAACCTTGAGTTTTAAAATCTTGAAGCCCCCAAGCCCCAAACCCCTCTAAACCCTCTCGAAGACCTTCACTTCCCTTCGAGGCCCCCAAAAGCCCTTGCCAAGCCCCAAAACCCTGTAATCTGCTGAAGCCTTTCGAAATCTCAGAATAACGCGCGCCGAGCCCTGAACTCTAAACCCTAAACCCGAAACCCTAAAACCCTGGACTTTAAGGAGAGACAGAGCTAAACCCAAAAACAGGCTAAACCCTAAACCCTAAAACCCTGAACCCTAAACCCTAAACCCCAAACCCTAAACCCCAAACCTCAAACCCAAAACCCAAAACCCTAAACCCAAAACCCAAAAACGACTTCGAGATCAGGGCCCCGGCTCCAGGTCCGGTCCCGACGCCCCAGGGCCGGCGTCCCCAAGGCCGGCATCTGGCGCGCGCAGGAGGTTTCGAGTTGGGTGAGGGTTTAGGGTTTAGGGTTTACGGTTTAGGGTTTCGGGTTTCGGGTTTAGGGTCTAGGGTTCAGGGTTTCGGGTTTCGGGTTTAGGGTTTAGGGTTTAGGGCTGAGGGTTTAGGGTTGAGGGTTGAGGGTTGAGGGTTGAGGGTTGAGGGTTGAGGGTTGAGGGTTGAGGGTTTAGGGCTTAGGGCTTAGGGTTTAGGGTTTAGGGTTTCTTGGTGGCGCGGGACCCCAAAGCCTAAACCCTAAACTAGGGCTGAGGTCGGTCAAAACTGGCTCCATGAACGTTCCAGCCTCCTGTCTCCCCTGCGTGGCTGATCTCCTCAGCTCCATCCTCTAGCGCCTCCTGCGCCTGGAATTGCGCTTCGGGCGTTTTGTTGCTTTTGGGGCCTTTAAGGATGGTTTCCTGGGTTTACGGTTTAGGGTTTTGGGTTTAGGGTTTAGGGTTTAGGGTTTAGGGTTTAGGGTTTAGGGTTTAGGGTTTAGGGTTTAGGGTTTAGGGTTTAGGGTTTAGGGTTTAGGGTTTAGGGTTTAGGGTTTAGGGTTTACGGTCCTGGGTTTAGGGTTTACGGTTGAGGGTGCTGGGTGCTGGGTTTCCAGTTTATGGTCTGGGGCTTCGGGCTCCAGAGCTTTACAGCCTTTGGGGCTTAGGGTATTTGAAGGTTCATGCGTAGGAATAAGTACCTGAACTAAGGGTGATCATCTAGGTTACCCTATTCATAACCCTACTTATAACTACCCATGAACCTCCAAGTATCCCTAAACCCTAAACTCTAAACCCTAAACCCTAAACCCTAAACCCTAAACCTTAAACCCTAAATGAACCTTGAAGTATTGAGGCGCTCCAGCTGCTGAGGGCTTTGTCAACTTTCTGTAGGGTCAGGGTTTAGGGCTTAGGGCTCAGGGCTTAGGGTTTCGGGCTTAGGGCTAAGCAAGATTCTGGGAATGAAATCTGGGGCTTGGCTTTAGCAACCCTAAACCCTAAACCCTCAACCCTCAACCCTCAACCCTCAACCCTCAACCCTAAACCCTAAACCCTAAACCTCGGATCTCAGGAGCCCCCCTCCCGCCCGTGGGCCCAGGGCCGCTCCTGCTGCTCCCTGTGCTCCAGGGCCTGAACGGCAGCTTCCCTGAACACCCCCACCACCGTAGGGGGTTTGGGTTTAGGGTTTAGGGTTTAGGGTTTAGGGTTTAGGGTTTAGGGTTTAGGGTTTAGGGTTTAGGGTTTAGGGTCTAGGGTTTAGGGTTTAGGGTTTAGGGTTTAGGGTTTAGGGTTTAGGGTTTATACATGGCGCGTTCGTATGGGGCCCTTAATCGGGGAACCCATATGTATACCCCTGATGTACCTTACAAAGTCCTAGGGCCCATACTTCGGAACACTTTACAGAAGGTCGGGAACGTACGAACGGACCATGTAACATTCCGTAGACCTGAACACCTGCCCACCTTCGGGTTGGGGGGTTTAGGGGTTTAGGGTTTAGGGTTTAGGGATTTAGGGCTTCGGGCGTTTTAGAGAAGTTAGGGGTTTGGGGAGTTTAGGGATTTAGGGGTGGGGGGTTTAGGGCTTCAGGGGCTTGCGCGGGGGGTTTAGGGATCGAGAGGTTTTGGGGCATAGGGTCCTTTCTGTAAAGGGTTTAAGGCTCGGAGAGGGGCTTATTGGGGTTCAGGGTTGAGAATTTGAGGTTTAGGGTTTAGGGTTTCGGGTTTCGGGTTTAGGGTTTAGGGTTTGGGGTTTAGGGATTCGGGTTTCGGGTTTAGGGTTTAGGGTTTGGGGTTTGGGGTTTGGGGTTTGGGGTTTAAGGCTAGAAACCTTTCAGCGCAAGGCACTGGGAGCTTCCAAAGCACCTTTCTCGGTGCCATGGTGAGACCCTCCCCGACATTGGAGAAGCGAGAGAGTAGAGGTTCTTCTTGCCCTAAACCTCCATATTATTTAGGGACGTTCGGAGAGACCCTAAACCCGTAACCCTAACCCTACATTTTGCGATAAGTTGCCCCCCAAAATGGAGCCTATAAAGGGTCCCTTAGGAGGGTCCCTCCTGTAGTCCTTCAAACTCTGAGGCCGACTTGCTGCAACCTGTGCGAGAGACCTCCTGGCACCAACGGTTTAGGGTTTATTGTCTAGGTGTTAGGGTTGAGGGTTTAGGGTTGAGGGTTGAGGGGCTAATGTAAGGCTACGTATCGT